ACCATATTTCGCCTTGTGTTACAAAGTCTTCTTAATGGCCTAGACCGAACTATTACAATAAGGTTCGTCTAACCTGTGCAGGTTCAAATTTGGAACAGCATTACAATATGTAAAACCATGGTTGTCAACATACTCTACTCTTTTGAGTACATTTGCTATATAAAAATATTTGCTGGACAAGCCGATTAGCAACACCATGTGCTTCCCTCACCTCATGTACTGTGCCTCATTTGTGATTTGTGTGAGTTTATATGAATATGTACAGTATAAACTCATATTATTGAGGGAAGAAGGGATCACTGGTCCAAGTAGTAAGAAGATGGGACCCAACTTTTCAAGGACAAGTCTGAGAGGCCTTTTTGTCTTCCAAGTATATAAAATATTTTTTACAGAGTTTTATTACACAAAAAAGAAATTTAATTCTTCTTAGGGGTCAAACCAGCTCTGGCAAGGTTGTAGAGAATGAAAAGTAAGCTCTGTATCTGCGGAGAAGGCTGGATATTTACACACAGGAGGGCGAACGTGATGGGATTAGGAAAATGATCTCCCCCCTAACCCAACTGTCTGTTTTAAAGAACACCATGAAATAGTATTGCAAACCGCAACGTGATAAATGTATTTTAGTGATTTTACACAAACAGGATCTAGTTTTAAGATTCATAATAAAAATGTTTTTCCCTTTTTTTCAATCTATAAATTCTTGAAATAAGCTTTTTAATCACATACAATTTATATAACATACTGTATTTGGATCTCAGTTTAGCCAGCTGCCTGAAAATGTGCTTATATTGTAACTCTGATGAATGTTTTGAATTTTTTGTCTTATTACAAGTGCACCCTTCCTTCACAATGAACATTCCTTATAGGCAAGAAGTATAACGCAAGCACAGCAGTATTTCAGACCCACGCCTCTCAGTCACTGTGTCATCTCTTGCAGATGATTTGCAGTACTTTGTTAAGTGAATATACTTCATTGTTGAGAACTATATTGAAGCAACTGTAAGTGAACTTTATCATTTATGCTGTATGGTGTGTACATTTTTTATAAAACCTTTTTAAAGTCTGTATAATCGAGACATTATTTTCTAGGTTAAGCATTTCAATTAGCCATTGATCAATCCATTACAAGCAAGCCTCTTAATCTTTTGAGGGTCATAGTGAACTGG